TAATTGTTAATTTTAATGGAAAAATACCCAAATCCACTCCAAAGTATAGTGACAGGAACGGATTCACTTTTAAACAAAAAACGAGATAAATTTACTCATAAAATTTTCGATTTGAACAAATCACCTTAAATTTAACGTATGACGTCATTTGACGTCAGTAATTCGTTAATTCGTTAACGGATTACTGATGTCAGATGACGTCAAATTAACAGATTGCTGATGTCAAATGACGTCACACGATAAATTTGGGGTGATTTGTCCAAATCAAAAATTTTGTGAGTGGATTTGTTCCCATTTTTTGTTTGATGGTGGATCCGTTCCTATCATTATACTTTGGGGTTATTCTGCGAATTTTAATCAAGATAGGGAGTAAGATGCCTCTCCTCAAATGAAAAAAATGAAGAAAAATTATATTTTTAAATAAAAAATGTTATTACTTGATTTAAAAAGTTAAAAATTTTATATATTAAAAAAAATTGTTTACTGGTATTAATCTTTTCTCGTTGGCAAAATGTAATTTCAGTGGGTCAATGGGCGCAGAGTGCATTGGGCTTTGTCTATTAAAGCAATGTAATTTTGATCGATTGTTGGTTAATGAGCCGAGAGTGTATTGTGCTTGATCTATAAAATAAACCTACAAAGAAATGGGTTAATATTAATTAGAGAAAATAGCTTAATTCTAGCCTATTGTGAATGATAGTTTATTTTTAAATCTTAATATTTAAAATTAGTTAATTAAAAATTCAATTTTTACTAACTACTTGAAAAATTCCACTACCCCATAATTTTCATGTTAAAGAAAAAAAATATATATCAAAGTGTAAAGCAACATCTATCAATGAAAGAGATCACCCTTTACCAATGATTTGAAGCACATATTATATATATAAACAAATTTTGTTTTAAATTATTTATGTGGCTAGATTTGACATTGATTTTGGAGAATTTCAGGTTCCGTACCCAAAAAAGTATATGAGTATAGTTTTATTATTATTCAAAAAATGAATTATCATGACATTCCAAATATTCTCTTTCTTTCATGTTCTTTCATACCAAACAAAGGAAAACTATAGTAGTATTTTTTGTTTACATTGCCAACAGATACTGGAACTCAAAGTCATAAGGTATC